ACTCCGCATGTACTGTCCTTAATTTCTTCTATGGCAGTAATCTTTCAAGGCAGAAATAGGTAATACATGGGCAGAACCTACCAAAACATACCACATCTACTACTTTTTTTCTGACAACCTTAATTATGTTCTTAATCTAATAAGAATTATATTTGCTTTGATGTTTACTACGTATGATTTACCTTGATCTATTTATTATATTTATATATTTGTAATTATAATGACTAGGTATTATTTGATGAAAGTCGATATCACTGGTCATTTCATTAGAATTATTTTGTTTAATTCCGCTACCATTAGTATATGTGACTGGCAACACTCGAAGATTGACTACCATTATTATTATCAGAATTTCTATAACCTTCCATATTAGCCATAAATCTCCAACTGCCATTTCGTCCACACACGTTTTGCGATACATGAGTCAACTCTAAAGACAAGTTATTAGATCGCTGCTCGGAATAATTATAATAGAATTATAATATTTTAAATTAATAAGTTAAGATAAGGTTTTAAAATAATTTCAAAACTTATTTTCGGTAGTTACAATTTTTAATTTTATTTTTGGCATAAATGAAGACTAATGGTACGACATGCGATGATATACAAGAAAGTATATATTTAATTGTCAATAGTTTTTCGGCTTCACTAGTATTGCACATAAAGACTGTTTAATTTTTTTTTTTTTATTTTCCTCAGTTTGTACTTTACGATTCATATGATTTTATTTATTTATGGAACTTGAAATAGTATACAAGTTGAAAGTGAAAAAAGAAAGCGGTAACCGTGGTCGATAGACATGAATAAAACCGCAAACATCACAGAACAATTTGCCAACAAGTTGCCATTCATGACGACTGAGATTTTATGTCCCTGATCATTAGAGTAATATTATGCCCTAACTACAATGCTGGACACCGTTTTAAGACAGCAAGCTTGAAATATTTTTGTTTTTTTTCAAAAAAAATTATTTGGGAAAATATTCAGTTTTACTAGTACAACACTGTCAAAAAAGATGCTAATAATTTTAAATTCTTTTAGTACATGTAAAATACTTACCTATTAGTTAATACAGTTATATCGGGAGCGGGGAGGGATTGTTAGCAATGGAGTTTGACAGCCCCAATATGCCCTATTAGGTCGATCTCCACGTAATTCCTCTTGGAAACCATCGTGTACAATTCTTACTAAATTCGCCATGACGGGCTAACTGACCTGCTTCATCCTCAGCTACACCCTTCACTGGTGCTCTGTCACCATATACCGATAGCGCAGGGGGGATAACCATTTCATTGTCATCCAATAAAAAAATACAGTTATCTACAACTCGACATGAATACTATTTAGTACCTATATAAAAATATATGTCTTAAGTAGGTATAAATAATCTGGACATAATTTTAACAGCAACGCCAGTGCGACGTCCGTTCTCGAGACCATTAGTATTTTTTGCACTACATTCATGGAAATCTAGACTTTTTTACATATTTCTGTAAAGGCATTTGAATTGCAAATTGTGAAACTAATATAAATTAACGAATTCAGTCACATAACAGTCGCTGATACCCTGGATGCGAGATTAGTGATTTTAAACGTCAGCTTTACATAATACATTTATTTATTTATTTATTTGAAAATTACTCACCACACTTATAGTCTCCTAAAACGTGTAGTGAGCCATAGATTTATTTTACAAACTTACAAATTTTGTACAACATTTTAAAAATATATCCATTTTGTCATTAAATATGTCAATATCTGGCTGCTGAGCAATCAGAGAATTGAGCAGAGAAATAGCTTGGTAAGTGATACATCTATGATTTAATAAGAATAGCAAGAATACGATCCGCCTGATGATAAACTGCCTTTGTATCCTTTCTTGTTTATATTTGTGATGATTATTTCCTGTCGCATTTAAACCGATTGAAATATTTTGCACTTCCATCTGTCTTATTCTACCCTCTTGAAAATTTTATATTAATTTACCTCTTTTCTATAAGTGATTTTACAGTAAATAATAGTTAGAATTATTTTATTTGTCTTTTTTTTATTTTTATTTAATACAAAAATTCACAGCTACATTTCAAAATAACTTACGTCCTGAGTCTTTTATAAATACAACTAATGACGGATTTTTATTTTATAAACGAAAATTATAAGTCTAAAACAAGTAAGTTGGAGTGATAATGTTAGTAAATGAAAATTATGAATATTTAATTACCTAATGGTCTCTAATCTATACCAATGACACTTGTTTTTATAAAATACTAGCTTTTACCTACGACTTTGTCCGCGTGGTCGAGGTACCTTTACTAACTTTAATAAAATACAGCTTACATCCTTCTTCGTCCTATATAATACGTGTGTACCAAATTTCATAGTGATTGGTTAAACCTTTAAGTCACTATAGTTAACAAGCAAACAAACAAACACAAACTGTGTTTCGGTTTGAAGGGTGGAATATGGCATGAATTTACTGGGTACAAAGGATTAACACCTGAGTCCTCAGGAATGGCAACACATGGGGGGTATCGTGGGCGAAACAGTATACTCTGTTATATCCATGGTACTGCTCATGTCTATAGGCGACGGTTACCACTTTCCATCAGGTGAACCGTCAGCTTGTTTGCTTCTAAGTAGTATAAAAAAAAACTCACTTTCACATATATAATATTAATAAGGATAGTCCTATATAGAAGACTGTAGAAGCTTCCTTTTGTGGACACTCTAATTACGAAAAGAGCTCTCTGGTGTGGTTTAGTATGTGGGACATATTATTGGTCGCAACCGTGAAGAGAGATAATTATAATATCCCTCATAATTATACTTATATCTCCTATTTATGTAGCTATCATAGAAGCTATGCAATCAACATTCACAGGCCACGCAATAAACGATCATAATAATATTATAATGTCATAGAAATTGTTGAGATCTCCCTTAATATGTACACGTAATTTCTCGGTACCTACGGTACACGCTTGTGACGATAATTTGTACCTGCAATGAGGCAACAATGTAACTATAATGAGGAAATTACGAATCAGTTTTGGACTTACGATTTGATAAACGAACATCATATATAAACATGGCGTTCAAAAATTACTGCAAACCATTAAAGGATACTTTAACAAGATATTACTTTAACAATTACAGACTATTTCTATAGAACTTAATGGAAAAGTAACCAAGTTTCATTGACATTTATCATTGAAACACACTCTAATTTTTTTTATGCAACTTAGAATGGCAAACAAGCTGACGGCCCACCTGATGGAAAGTGGTGACCGTCGCCTATAGACATGAGCAGTACCATGAACATAACAGAGTATACTGTTTCGCCCATGATACCTCCCATGCGTAGCCATTCCTTAGAACTCAGGTGTTATTCCTCTGTACCCTGTAAATTCACTGCCATATCGCACCCTTCAAAGCGAAACACAGCCATGCAATCAACTGCTTCACGGTAGATACACGAGTGGGACAGAGGTGTTTAAGCAAACGACTTTGTCTCCCTCTGGTCAAGTCTTTTCCGAAAAACTACCAACAAGTTTACGAAATAGTTACAATACTCATTTTTAATACCAATCCCCAGATATTATATTCTTCTTTATACAGTTATTACGTGCACCAATAAAAAAAAAATCTTTTAAAGCGATAATCCGAGAATTTGTACGTATAAATAGAATTAAATTGAAATTGGGAATTACATTCGATGGGCGAATAACCGATGATTGTGTAATAAATTCTTTATAGGAGAAGTGATTTGACAAGGTGAATGGGGCATCACCGATGAGTTTTGACAGGGCCTAGACAAAACGCAATTGAGTCTATGTCTCAATTGCTTATATTTATATTCGATTGCAGAAAAAAGAGAGACTTTGTACAAGACTTGTCTGTACTAAGTTTTTTCCGTAACACAGTTGAGCTTGCATTATCGTTTTTCTGTTAGAAGCATGGAATATAACAGTGAAATTACATGATACGGAAGCAAAACACCATAGTCCTTAGCAATGTTAACGCTTGGTATATAGTAACGATAGTTACTACTATTCATCATGTTGGTCGTCAGCTTATTTGTCAATCTAAGTATTATAAAAAAAAAAAAAATTTTTTGAGTGTATGTATGCAAGTCCAAATCAGCTGTAAATTTAGTTCTACGTTTTCATAATTTTTTAAGCAACAATGAACTGATAATCAAAGGATCTGATGCTAATTAGCAAACTTCGTCAATAGACAATAACAGCAATGCACTGGTACCCCTTATTCCTAATAACTAATTGAATAGAGCTTCATTGCACAATTGTATACAACGACAATAAATGATTGACTATACAAAATAATTATGAGGGTCGTAAATTATTCAGAAGTTGCAAAAAAAACAGTCGAGGAGTTTTTATGAGTGTCAAGTCTGATATCCATGATTTCACTACTATATTCTTTATTCGTCATCATCAGTCATCAATCGTGTGGTTCCGGAATAGAGTGGGCCACCCCTTCCTTTACCGTGGGTGTCGTAGTAGACGACTAAGGAAGGGCGAGGGATAGGCAGCGTTCCGTTCAGCGTCATAGGCAGTTAAATATTTATTTAACTACCATAGAGCGATAACTCTAAAAGAAATATTTTGTAATCAATCTAACGCATATAACAAGTAAGTATCATATGTGTTAATCCTAATATACTGCATCTGTGTGTCAAATTTCATTTAAACCGGTCAGTGACTTAATCGTGGCTTAATAATGAATATCCAAAAATATTTTCAAAACATTTCCATTTGTAATAACGATAGGATTTAAAAAAAACTATTCTATTTTAAAAATCGTAGTGACCCATATATTTATAGTAACATGATTTCTAAATTAAAAGTACGTAATTGGATAAGATATATAATATATATAAGCTATATATAATAAACTTCATCTATCATTTAATTCTTCATTCTACTAAGACTGAGTGTTCAAATATTACATTAATAGTAATATAAAGTGTATATTCTCACCTTTAAAAGCAGCATCTTGTGAAGTTATTTAACTTTCAGTCGACGAAGTCCCAAAAGTCCAAGAATCACACAAAAACAAGCACTATTGTCTATGGCAGTCACAAACACATGTAGGTCCCCAGTTAATCACCGCATATTGACTTAACAATTTGTCTGGATGTCCACATATCCGGCGTTGCGACGAAAGCCTCCACGCAAGCGCAGCCAAAGGAAATCCTATAATTTAAACAGGCCACTGGTTAAAAAGAAAATCTCTGATACCATCAATTACACTCGGTAATTGATCGCGTTTATAATCTATGCACAAATTTCGCGCGGGAAAACTGACAGGCGGCTACTTTTTTAAATGTGGTACACCAAAAATGTTATTTATTATCTTTTTTTATTAAGTATAATACATGCAAAGGAATTAATGATTAATAGGTATAAATAGGTACCTACAAGCTTTTTTTAAACTAATTTGTAGTGTGTATGCGTTCGGCCGGCCCGCCGGTCAGAAAGTGGTCGCGCGTATCAGCTGTTTGTTGTTAAATACCGCACTAGTCTACATATTGGCGTGCAGAAAGGCGATAGTGGTATCATTGCCTATAGCGTAGTATGTAAAAGCGCTTCATTGATGATGATACAATTCCATGCAATATTGTAATGATGATTATTCTGCAATATTATTAACTCTGTAAACCCTAATACCGTATTTTTATGTACGAGTACTTATCTATAATAATACTTGCAACATTTTTATAAGTAGGTATTCTTCTACTTATCAAATATCAGAACACATACAATGCATTTATAATTCGTCTTATCCAGATTATAAAAAGACGATCCTTGTCGCCTTTTTATGAGTAAAGTGTAGAGAATATTTCTATTTAAAAAAAAAATGTTTTATTTTAGTAGCAAAGAAAACAGATAATTATTTGTAACTTAATACATAGTTCTTTATTTATGAAGTAGTAAAATTTAGGTAACAATAATTTAAAAAAGTAAAATTTAAGTTTTTTTCTGAAGTAAAATTAATGTTAAGTTAAATTAATTAATTAAGTTAAATTAAATTCTTGTACCTGTTAGGGGATTATTGGCAACAAATTTTTCACATTTCTCACTTTAAATTCAATCTATTTAAAGTTAGAGTAGAACGAGAATAACTAACTATATTGTTTTTCTCTCGTTGTTCGAGGAAGGATCTTCATCGTCAGAAGTTGAATAGCAATCTCGAACAAACCATTATTTTTTAAACACCTTTTTGAAGCTTAGAAACTATATGTATAATTTAATTAATTCAATATGCGATCTAAAATGCCGAATTTCACAATGGAAAATATTGTATAAAGTAACTCATCTCAAAAACACCACTTTCCATCAGGTGGGCCATCAACTTGTTTGCCATTCTATGTTGTATTTGTATGAATTTTTAACTTTCCTTTTGTACTATATAACTCAAAATTTTTTCGAAATCTCACCACACATGTAGAATAATTTTCGCCAGTAAATTAACGAACAATACCGTTATGTATCATACTACGGTAAGTCAGACAATAAACAATAAAAAAAACAATTAGTCACTTTCAACGGTGGGAAATATAACTTCATTAAATATTGTGCAACTTTAAAAATAATCATCATTAAAAACAGACACTTATTTATTAGATTTTAAGTTTTAATTTTCAGCATGGTCTTTTCTAAACAATAAATAAAAAAAAAACTATTTCAATTACATAGTTACTATGCCAATAGACAGAATAAAACTAAAAATTTATGCATTCAATTTTTTTTTACTTCAGTTTGCAACATTATTAGGAATTTTTACTTATTAAGGAAGTTGCCGTATCGTCGCAGCATAGAATAGGCCTCCGCTTCCTTTCCCGTGGATGTCGTAAGAGACGACTTAGCTAAATGGTTGAAGGATGGACAGCAGGATCCCTCTTAAAACATCACCAAAGCCTAACTACGGTCATCAACCTGTCTGCCAAGCGTGGCAACTATTGGCAAGACCTCTTATAGCGGAGGCCTATGCTCAACAGAGGAAAGTTAATGGCTGATATGGTGATGATGATGATGAAGGAATTACCACTAGTCTATATATTAAATGTATAGGTTATGTATCTCAACGTACCTTAACCTTTTAAATTGCCTTTTAATTGAATTATTTTCTAATGGCCCTGTACTTTGTCTCCGAAGTCGTCTCATACTTATTTTTTAATACTTTAAAAACATCAGAAACATTTTTTTTTTAATTAATCAAAAACATAATTTTGTATCCTAATAGATGTAAATTCATATCTAATCGTATTGTTACGTACACATATACACACACACACACACACACACAATCACAAAGAGAGAGTGAGAGAGACAGAGAGATAGGTATCAAGCTAAAAACTTTTTTCCATTTTACCACACATTTGACATGAGGTCACGAGGTTGCGTATCTTAGAAAGAAGGGCCATTTAAGAATGAATTAACTTCCAAGTTAACCAATTAGCTACCCAATTAATCAATTAGCAAGCAATTCGCATGAACTTTTCAAGTTATTGGAACACATTAGATTGATTCCTTACATAATTTGTACGCTTTTTTATGCTTATTTTGTTCAATACTTTTGATGCAATGTATCTGTGTTGTAAATAAATAGTAGATCTGATTGTAAATATAAATGTATAAGAAGCAATTGTGAAATAGAAATATATAATAAACCGAGTTATCTATATCATGGACTATTATAATATAGGTCTTATTAAATTAATTAAATTGTCTTAAAAAACACACTACTTTTTTGATAACATTAATGTCTGATTCCCAGTTTTACTGACCTGAAAAAAAAAATTCACAACTCTACAGACCACAGATTACACTTTCATTAAACCTCTTTCCCATTATCACTAGACAATGCTATAAATATATTTTTTTAATTTCTTAGGAATAACAAGACATTGGAGTAAACTCATCAGCGATAAAATGCTATAAAGCCTTTTTTTATTTACTAGGCTTCGGCGGACTTCATTCTGAACTCATCAGCCATGATCGCAGATTATACTATTCTAAATCTATGCATTAGCCAAAAAAAAAACACATTTACCATAAAGCAAAGATGTCTTACTGATAATCAAATTTTTTATTAATATACTGTGTACGTTATAACATCGTGCAAGACATGGACTAATCACGTAAACTATTACAAATAATTAATAAAAGTAATCGTAATTTATACATTAAACAAAAGATTTGATCGTGTGAAAATATCATTTAAAATTACTACATTCATTCGACTCCAAAAATATCATACAATGCAATAATTGTACAGTAAAATTATACCAAAATTTCAACTGTCACTCACATTACGGTACAATGCGCAGAATATAAATTCAATCACAATTTCAACATTACATAAATTAACGTAAGCTTCCTGACGCGCTTTGCCACCTGAGCGTAAAGGCGTAAAAGTGAACCATAGACAAGATTTACATTTTTACACAATAGAATTACCCATTACGTTGCCGTCTCAAAAATACGGAGTCATCGTAAATGGCGGACCAATAGCTAAAAGTATAATATTATCTCAAATGGCAGTAATTATTACTACAGTTCGATTACAGGACAATTTACTTCTAATATTTACGTCCGCCATTATGAAATATACAGTACAAATCGATCGGATTTCATTTTAATGATGGGCTATTAAGATATTATATTCTTTTTAGGGCCCAGTGGACTGTTTTGTGGGAAAGTGTTTTTGAGACGTAACACGGTTTAGTGATGTAACCTACGTCACAGTTTACAATCGATTAATCAACCGACAAATCTACAAATTGACTTACATGGCTACATGAATTTTAATATATTTGAATTATTATTTTGATATGATTAATGCAATGCTCTCAATAATTTATGGTTCTATTATTTGATTTTCAAATTAGACATGGAATTGGTTGCTTCCTGATGGATAGTTAAATTAATAACTATTTACCTACTACATTACTTCACTACTTGCTAATAGTAAATAAAGTAGAAGTAAATCATAGCTTACAATGAGACCCGCGGGTAGGAAGTGAGACTTAACCAAATACGACTGATCGAAACAAGCTCGGCTTTAGTTATATACGTCATCATATTAAAACGGTGACAGATATGAAGCCACCATAACCTCCTTCCCATCGGGGGAAAGGGATTATTAGTAATGGAGACTGAAAATCCCATTGCTAGCAATATACTCAACCAGGTGGATCTCCTCGCGGTTCCCCCTGAAAACTATCATGGTTAATTCCTGATGAATTCATCATGATGGGCTAACTGGCCTGTTTTCATTCTCATCTATCACCCTTCACTGGTGCTCCGCCAGCGTATCCCATTAGCCCAGGCGGAGTTACCATACCATTTTCACCCATCAAAAAAAAACCTCCTTCCTGTACTACTATCAGTACTACTTTTGATTTTATATTTTTCTATTTTGAATGAATTTTATTGACATTTATATACGTGTTGGGACGGAAATCATACTGGTAAACCTATTATATTTATTTATTACCGCTGCCCTTCCCTCCTACCAGCACAATTAATAACTACAAAGAGTTGGTCTTCCACCAATAATTGAATAAAGAAACGACATGCGATTAGCAAATGCTGACGTTATAAAATAAACCTACGTTCCAAATTTCAGCTTTCTAGACATAGTAGTTTCAGTGTGCGTTGATAAACAGTCGGACAAACAATTTTATAAGTATAGATGACAGTGTCAATTCGCATCGAACTTTTATGTCTGGCCGGCTCGAACCAAAATCAAACCTTGGTATTTCCTGAATTATATTTAATCAAACAAGCCATAAAATATATAGACATTACATTAATATAGAACCTGAACCGCATATTAGCCATCATAAAAATAATATGGTGAGCTATTCTTCTAGATTATTTTGTATTGTATTGAGTAACGACTAAATTAGTTCTTTTAAAGCTAGTAAGACGTATTCGCTTTACAATTGTTGTTTTGTATTAAAAACATACAAAACAAGTATAAGCAATGTGTAATACATTATATTGTTCATCGTATCAGCCTATCAATTGTCCACTGCTGAACATAAGTGACATAGAGGTATTGCGAGTAGTTGCCACGCTTGGCAAGCGGATTGGCAACCGCAGTTAGGCTTTGGAGATGTTTTAAGAGAGACGTTGCTGCCCATCTTTTTTTTTTTTATACAACTTAGAATGGCAAACAAGCTGACGGCCCACCTGATGGAAAGTGGTAACCGTCGCCTATAGACATGAGCAGTACCATAAACATAACAGAGTATACTGTTTCGCCCATGATACCCCCCATGCGTTGTCATTCCTGAGGACTCAGATGTTATTCCTCTGTACCCTGTAAATTCACGCCATATCCCACCCTTCAAACCGAAACACAGCCATGCAAACACAACTGCTTCACGGTAGAAACAAGAATGGGACAGAGGTACCCAAGCAATCGACTTTTGTACAAAGTCTCCCTCTGGTGTTTCCATCCCTCGCCTTAGCCTCCCTCATGGAGGTTTTACCAGTAG